GCTTTCCCCCGCTTCAACTCTCTCTCTCTCTCTCTCCTGTCTCTTATACACATCTAGATGTGTATAAGAGACAGGAGAGAGAGAGAGAGAGAGAGAGAGAGAGGGGGGGGGGGGTTACAGGCAGAGGTTACATCGGGCTTTGAGGCCCAGGATCTGATTCAACATTTTTGTGGCAGACTGTGATTGGACAGTCAGCAGGGAGACTAGTTTTGGACTTCGCTATCGCGATCTTGGTCTTCTCCCTCCTCTCCAGCTTTGTCTCGCCACTTCCCTCCATCTCCTCATCCGTGGTATCTCCCCATGTGTGTGCTCAAGGAGGGACCTTTCTTCTGTGTATGTGGTCCCTCCTCTCATTCTCACATGTGTGGTGTGTGATGGGGTGCCGAGTCAGTATCTTACGGGTCAGGTCATATCTTTGAGTCTTCGGTTCCTCTACATTATGCTATTTTGTATGGATGTACATTGCCTATTGATGTTTTTCTGACGCTGCACAGTCCTTTTCATCACTTCACGGATTCTTGGCTCCACATACATCGCTCGATAGAGCATGTAACAATTGGTATCGGAGTGGCGCTAGTAAATCAGGACTACAGACCTGACCAATCGATGGATCAGTTGATCGATTATCGATTGATTGATTGATTGATTAATCGGTTGATTGTTTGATTGACTGATTGATTAACTATGATTGATTGATTGATTGATTGATTGATTGAGCGCAACTTTGCCTAACCGTCAAAATTCCGATTTTTTTTTAAGTTCGGAATTCGTTTTTTGCGCGTATTCGTTTTTGTTCTTTTTTTCGCAAAATTTGAATCGTGCAATAATAGTAGCTGAAAATTTCGATTTTCCCTATTTTTTGTGAATCCCAAATTTCCCGCTGCTTCGACAGTCCGAAATTTTATTTTTTCGGATTTCTCTCTTCGCAGTTGTATTTTGTGAACTACACCTTCCGAAATCGAAAATTGCTGCGCATACTCTCATCTGAATATTCCGGGAAAAAAATTCTTTTAAAATTTCGGAATTACCCGGACTTGCAATTTTTTTTGCAGTTCTGATTTTTTTTTTCTGTCGTTATACCTGCAGTCTGAAGTTCAAAACATTATGTTTATTTTTATTATTCTTTCAACTTTGGGACTTTAGGGATCAAGGAGACCTACCGAACTTGCAAATTTTGATTTATTTATTTTTTGTGTCGAAATCTTTTTTAAAAGCCAAGTTCGAAATTTTCAAATTTGATTAGTGGCTTCTTATCTTGGCGATCGACAGGGAAGGGAAGTGCTACTACCTTCTACCCTCCCACCCACCCCACCTACTCTGCTTCTTTCGCCATCCAGCTCCTCCTTCTCTACTGCTGCGGCATTGGTGAGTTCCCACGTCAGCCAGCCACGTCAGCAGTCATACGTGCAATGTCCGAAGCCGACCGGTGCCATGTCAGCCCTTGCCTCCCGCTACTGTCGCATATGCCAGCGCTCACCCGTTCAATGACGGGCGATATGGAGTGGAAGGAAGGGGAGACCGAGTGATGGCTGGGATGAAGAAGAGAACAGAAGCAGCAACAGCTGCACGGAAAAAGAAGGAAGAGGAGGTAGAGGAACAACGCTGTCTTGTGGTAGAACAGCGCAAGAAGGGCGAGGCAGCAGCAGCAGCAAAGGCTGCAGACGAGGAACGAGTACGACGGCGCGAAGGACTCTTCAAGGAGGAACGCGCCATACATGCGCTGACCGCTGATTGGTGGAAGGAGGCCGAGGGCGAAGCAGCCAACGACTGTGGGACCAAGCTAGCACTACTGCTCACCCGCATCACGGACGTGCTGGCCACCTGCATTGCACAGCAGGAGGACATTTACTCGACCACGTGGTCCAGTATCACCAGCAGACGGTTGCACGATTGACCAGCCGCATACAGATGCCTGAACAGCGACCCGCTCCGACTCCGACTGCTGGCCCCTCCAACCTTGTCCATCACGTCAACACTTTGGAGATCGACGTAGGCACTTTCAAGGACGGCGCTCAGCAGCAGCAGGCGACTAATCAGCAACTCCAATCTGCCGATCAGCAGTTGGATCAGCAGATTCGTGCAGCTGCACTCCGTGCCGCCTTGACACCGGCCGAACGCGTGCCCAAGCTGGATGACATCCCAGTCTTCTACGATGCTTCGAGGACTGACCCACTACCGCGGTGGAAGCAGTTAGTTGCGGTTGCACATGTACAAGGTGCGTGACTGAAACCCACATGCCTGCCTTTACCATCGGTCGGGCGGCGCGTGTCAAGCATGGCTTGACAATCTCCTGCACACACACAAAGTGATGATCGTCGAGCTGCATACGAAGATCAACTGGGAGGATCTCAAGGCGGCATGGCACACGAGGTTCCAAGTGGAACCGCCCGAGCTCTAGGTGATGGAGAGCTCCAGAAGTTCCACCAGAACCCTTTGTTGAGCTCGGATTGGATCGCTGAGTACCAACGCTTGGCATCCACGTCTGATTTGCCGGTCCATTTCACGGTCGTCGAGGCTGTCAAGCACTACTTTATTACGAGGTTGTGCCCGACATTGCAAAATGCCTTGACACAAGTCGCAAAGACACTCACCAAAAGGGAGTTGTTATTCAACAAGGCCTCACAGACCATCGTGACAAACACGGAAGCCCGCAATGCTGGTTGTTCGTCTTCCTCAGTCCCAAGTAGAGATCAGCATCGGCCGAAAGTGGCCGTGGTCGCAGCGACAACGCCAACCAATTCCAATGAGGCTGCTCTATACGAAGAGGGAGATATGGCAGCAGTTACCCAGGATGGTGGCCACCCGATCAAAGGTCGAGGACTTGACAAATCGAAGACAACCACCGCTTGAACCCCCGGGTCCGGATCAGCAGCTCAAGAACCTTGGCTTCACTACGGCATATCGGAGGGCATTTACAAAAACGCACCCAGTACCGCTATTGTTGTGGTGTAACAGTGACGTGCACGAGACCTCAAGTTGTCCCGCAAAGGCCAAGAGGAAATCCCAATCGGGAAAGTGAGCACCGCCGAGAGTGATACAACTGCACTCTCAACGCCTTTGGAACTGGTTGCCGCGCGAGCAACCGCCCTTTGTTCCGACACACATGCGGAAGTCGGAAGTCCTCTTTTTCATTCTTTCGAGGACTTTGCTGCCCCACTCATTCCAACGCAGGGTTCTCTAACTCAAGGATAAGGTGGGTGCGCGGTTTCATCTCCATCCGAAAGCAGCGCCAATTCGTCGTCTCCAAGTGGTTCTTCAAGGGATTTGCCACGCGAGTTCAAGATAGAGGTCTTGGACCCGCTGTCGCCCGAGGATTTTGCATGGCTTCCTCTCCCTTCCACGGGCTGCTTACCGGGACCGCAATGCTCAGCACTATGCGCCTATTTGCGCACATATTTGTCCTTCTATGCGCGAAG